ACTATGTCGATGTATGCACGCTTTATATATCATATATAATGTAAGTACATTTTAGTAGAGTAATATGTTACACATGTAGCGTGTTCCGCATGGTGGTAACGCGTCTCTGTCGCGATCCAAAGAGAGCAGACTTATATAAACAGATCGATAAGCAAGTAAAGAAGATGTACTTATATTTATCGAGCGCTTCCTTCAGTCGAGAATCTTGCAACTGCTGCGCGCAAAATTCCGAAAAAAATGACTGAAACAAAACAGGTGGCGATGGGATTACAATCTAACCGGATCGATTTCGAGCGTGTCTTCGGTTCGTTTGCTGAGCAATTTTAAGAGAACTTTTAGATGAGTCGTCTACCATTCTTCGTTTCATTCATTTTTTAAATTCCTTTTTTGTCGGCGGTATCCGTTCATTGTTTTTTAATTCTCGTTTCTATCGATACACCTTTAGGGGAAACTTTAGAAAAAGACGATTGCGAGGTATTTTACGCCCTCCCGTTCGGCGATCTTCCGCGGGACGGCGAGGCGGATGGCGATGGATCCGGGCTGCACCCGTTGCTGCTACCGCGACGACTTCCGGTACCGCTTGCTTTCAACCGGACCATAGTGTCCAGATGACGAAATCTGAAATTATTTTCCAATATATCGAATCATCAACGTCCTATCTCCTAATTGAGCAAAAAATTTTGTTAAACGTATAATCTCTTTTATCGAGAATATTTAAAAAAGGCAAGGCAATACCTAAGTGATAATTCACTGGTATCAGCAGCATCTTTCGCCTGCATCAAATACGCGAGGGGCCAGGATATCCACGAACGTCTGGCATCAAACATGCTAAATCAGTGATTTTGCAAGATTTCTGTAACCCATTGGTATGGATCTATATTCATTTCTTACGTTGTGGATTGAGGATTCGAGCCGATACCACCGATCGTCGCTTGGGTATCCAATTTCGCCCCTGTCCTGTTCGGTGTCTTCGTGAATCCTGGCTGAATCGCAGGATCAGACACCATTCGAACGAAGAACGATCTTCTTTGCTCCAAAGTGGCTTTCCTTTTCTTCTCGCGAATATCTGCCAATTCGTCCATAACATCCTACGATTCGACGAAAGAAAGATAAACGTATGAATAATACTTAAGAGCATAGTAGTTAATTGAAATAAAATTCCAATTGAGAAATTTTCGGATTACCTTGGACTCTAATAATTCGGCCAGATAATCCGTTATAATACTCCACGCCGTGTCTATAATATAAAAATAAAAAAATTGAGGAATGAAGACGTGCAAAAGGTACCATTATCAGTGGAGATATCGGCTCACCAACGTCAGAAGCAGTGGCATTCGGCGCGGCAAGCGCGAAACGAATCGTGAACCGTTGATTCACTCTTGCTGGAACCATGTGCAACTTTCCGGAATCATTGATGGTGCTCAGCAGTTTCTGATTCAGTTTGTCGGAACCTTTTGCACGGAAACAGACCAATCCTAACTGAAACGGTTTAATACAATTTAAAAACTTGCCAACTTCTCTGAGAGAGGTCTCCCTCTCTTATCTGTATCTGATTACTGACACTCACCACAACTTCGTTACAAAGTTCGAATCTCGTATCCTTCCTAACCAAAGCCTCGAATCTCTTAGCTAGTTGCACGTGATTCCGAATGTAGGTCTGTAAACCGGATATCCCGTAACTTCTCATCACGAACCACAGTTTCAAGGATCGAAATCGTCGGCTAAGAGGTATGCTCCAATGCCTGTAGAAACGAGCTGCGTGAATTCATCGCCTTTTCTTTGATTTCCTTGGTTTAAACATCGATGAATAATACCTGTAATCGATAGCCGTGTCCGCGTGAGTGTGCTGAAGATAAAGAGGATCGACGACCAGCGCGCTGGTCAATTTGAATCTATCCCGGACCCATAGACAGGAACAATCGAAGTTCGTCAATAGGAATTTATTCGTATTGGTGTTGAAAGAATCCGCATATTCGATACCAGCCATCAGGTACTTCAATTCCGGGCAGATGAAAGAATTGCCCGCGTAAGCTGCATCGACGTGCAACCACACCTGAAAAAAAAAAAAAAGAGCGATAACAGAAAAATTTTAACAGATAAAATCGAGGATATTGTTGGAGGAAAATTCGTCGATCAGCTTACGCCTGGATATTTTTTACAAACTGGACCGATTTCTTTGAGATTGTCAAAGGAGCAACAAGCGGTCGTGCCTAAAGTGGTGGAAACGAAGAAGGGGATGTATCCTTCGGCTGTGTCAGCCTCGATTGCCTGATAGAAAAGAAATCGATGATCGAGTATAAAATTGTTTTAATCGAAGTAAAAATAAGATATTAACGCGAAACGAATTAAAAAAAAAAAAACATTTTTTTCAACGAAATGAAATAATATGAGAAGAAGAAGAAAAAAAAGTTATACCTGACGCAAAGTTTCGCCACGTAAAACACTTTTATCGTCAGGTTCTAAAATTCTCAGTTTCACGAAACAAATCATTGCATCCTTTTCGACGGAGCTGTGACTTTCACGACTGCAATAAGCCATCAATTTTCCAAGAAGGGCAGTTTCGTCCAAGTGTGAATGTGCAGCTGATTCTTTCAACCTAGCAATTGCTTGCGCCCTCGCTGCTAGCATACATACCAAAATACACTCCGAGGCTGATCCCTAAGATTCATTTATCGATGATTAAATTTATAGAAGATATTTATATTGAATAAAATTTTTAATCATAAATAGAAATATTACTTGTATCACGCCGCCTCCTTTGCTACCAGGGCTGAAATAAAGGAAGTCCGTCGGTAAACCAATAGCTTTCCCTGAAATTTATTTAGATAAACTCGTTGATAGCTCATCTTCTGATATTTAATATATATTGAAACAACATTTAATGAGTTAATATCGAATTACCGAACCAATCGCAGACTATCGTCTCGAGCTCAGTGCAGGCTGGACTGGCAGCCTAGAACAAATAAGATATCGAAAAATAATGAGATGATTGAACAAACACTTGATCAATCTGTCAAATCTGTAACCTCGTGTTTCTACTCTACTTCTTTGCAAGAAGATTGAATTTGATGAAAATAATTTCAATATCTTCTGAAAATTATTTTTTAATTTTTTTTAAAAAAAAGAAATTGTTGAACTTACCCATGAAAATCCAATACAACCTATTGCGTCCGATAACATGTCACCAAGAATCGATGGAAAGGAATTTCCGGCTGGGAAATACGCGTGAAATCTCGGATGTTGCCAATGGGTAATCTGTAAATATATATACATATATTTTTTTCTTTTTTATCCAATTTATTACATTTTATCCTCTTTTTTTTTTATTATTTAATAGAATTAAAGGAGAAAGATATAATTTTTCTTTTTCACTTACACCAGGCATAATCTTCGATTCGACATCCCTCATAATGTCCTCCCAAGGTTCAGGTTGTTGCGGTGCTTCCGGTGGTAGGAGGGGTCTCAAATATCCGGGACCAACGTCCGGTGTTACTCTCCGATTGTGAATATTGCTCATGAACTCGCAGATGTATTCCACCATCTCCTTACCACGTATACGAAACTCTTGAATATCCATGGTGATCCGTTTCTATTCTCGAAAAAACCTTCAGGTTAAACGCGATGATTTATCTTTCACAATTATCACAAGTCTCTTCTACTTTCTATCTCCCTCGAGATATCTTTCTTAATTAATCTAATAACATCAAATCACAAATTTCTATATTCTATTAATATTTCTCCGTTCGTATAACTATACTCGTCGTCGAACGCAAACACGATGAACAAAAATGATTAATTCATCGATAAAGTCGGTAAATAAAGTTAATAAATCCATAATCGTATTCGATTTGTTTTTCGCTCGCACAGGCACTATGTTAGAAATTTAAAAATTACCCCAATTACCGTAGGAAAAGTCGTGTAAATTTCACTTTTTCTCACAACAACGGGGTGACTTTGACGAAATTTCGTGGTATCCCACGCGCCCTACCTGTTGCTACAACTATGGAAGAAATCGAAGAGTCCAACCGGTGCACGTTGAATGAGCCACGACCGAACAATCCCGAGTTTCGCTTACCACCTCGGATATATCGAGGATCCAGAGAGCGAGGATTCTTCGACTCCTGCGCAAACGCGCGTCTTTCCCTAAGATCTTCTTCGCGGATCCTCGAAAAAAAAAATGAACAAGAGAGATGGATGGATCTATATAAAATTCGAGACACAATTTCCGGAATAAGGAAACGATCGAAATAATTACGTCAGAATACCGAAATTGCTTCGTTCAAGTTGTAAACTCGTCTCTTTGCTGTTTGTTGCTTGATCGACTTTTTCGTTGATTGATTTTAACCAACGATGATAATTTTATGACTTTCTTTTTGAGTATTTTTTTATAAATTTTTCATCAATGGCGATTTCAACGCAACGTTTACAGTTGTTGTTAAATTAAGTATTCGAAATTCGAACGAAATAGAAGTAAGACAAAAAGAAATCAATGTCTAAAACCGGATATCCCCGTATGATGATAAACTTTTCAGAAATTGATGTTGCAGTGTAATGATACTTCATAATTTACTATCGCATCTATAATTTTCGAATGAATAGTTTATGTAATATGTATATTATCTATGTGAAAAACGATAAGTTCTAAGGTATAGACATTGTTGAAGAATGCATCGTTTGCAAGTTGGTCGAATTCGTAAAAGGTCAAACAATAAGAAAAGGGCGAAACTTTTCATGATGACAAACTTGATTCCAGGTCGATCGAATTGGAAATATTCATAAAATAGTCGGGGAAACGGATGGAATAGAATTGTGTACGTCAGAAGGAGGAAAACTTCTCGAAACGTGGTTCGCCCCGTTCATTCCCTGTGAAAACGTCGAGCGTCTTTGCCATAGAAGGGTTGGCCACTCGAATAAATTGGAAGCCAGGCTCCTAGCACGTGATGGTTTATTACGATGGAAAAAGAGCGCGTAGGCATCGTTAAAAAGATGTCAGACGCAGAATATCGTCCCTCTGGAAATCGAGCTCCGATGGTGCACCAAAAGTGGTCCGAACTCCTTGACCTTTCCTTCGCCAAGCTTTTTGCAATATTCTCACGACACATTAAGAATCTCGATGATGAATCCTATCGGATCGAAATTAAATTCTTTTGTTGATCAAACAAAACGAATCAGATCGAATTGGAAACAGTATATATACATATATACTCCGAGAAGAAACAACATTCGAAACTGATCCACCAACATTGTAAATCGAACATTTGTTTCTATTTCCTTCTACTTCTATTTCTTTCTTTTACATTGCGTGACACGAACGTGAAATCGTAATTTAACGACTCAAATGCGACATCCGTGACTATCTGTCTGCGACTACCGACGTAAACGAGCGGTATAATAGGTAACACTAGTTCCATAACCGATATAGAGCAAATAACAATTTCTGACGTAGAGAATAGAGAACTAGAGATACTTTCAAGGAATCCAGTTAAATGTTTAATCAAAATCGATTAGGCGAAGTGTTACTATTTACTTAACAAATTCCAAACACGATTCATGCGTGTACAATTTTCATATAGAATGAACTAGGTACGCGTAAATGAAGGGGACGATCATAGGGGAGGATGTTCGTATGAAATTGCGAAACGAATTGATTAGTAGCCAGTGATGGAAGCCACCGGTTTCGCTTGAAATAGGCAAAACGACGACCTTTTGGGGATAAAAACGTTCATAATGCTGGAATGCAGGGGGGAGAGAGTGACAGGGGTGCTTAATAATGCAATATGGCGTCGGGGCGTCGCGGCGCTATGCCGGCTATGCCGCATACCACCACCATATACGCCTACGCCTGCGACCCCCTTACACCCTCCGTGGCTGCCCCCGAGTACGAACAACCGAGAGAAGGGGGGGATAGGGATGGTACCGTGCAATCGAATGCTGATTGGAAAATATTGATGGGACTTTCCATACGGGGATCATCCCTTAGACCACTGCTTTTTCCAAGTTTGCTTCGGAATTCCAGAAATTATATTCTCTTATAATCGAACGGGAACTTTCGATGAACGCCCCACTTTTATATCCGAAGAGAAATTGATATTAATCGACGATCTGGTATGGTCGATTAGTTTTGTTATAGAGTGACAATTGTTATAGAGTGAAAATTGTTAATTATGAATATGAATGTGCGATCTGTTGCAAATTATGTTGCAATATCTTTGATGAATAATTTTGATATCTTAAAATGTTGAAATGTTTTTTTATTCGTATTATATTGTACAGTTGTTTTTTTTTTTTTTTTTTAATGTAACTATGCAGCGAAGTTGTTTAAAGTTGTTTCTAACTTTAATCACTGAAATAATAAGAATATCAATTAATAAATATATTGATTAAAATTAAAATTTCTATTTTAAAACAAATGAGATACTTAAAATTATCATGAAAATGATCAATACTCAACTTGTTTGTTTCGTATCGTTATTATATTAAAGTTGAAATTAAAATTTAACAATATCAATAATGTATCGATAAGCTTAAAAATATTTCTTTGCAATAATGACATTCATTTTTTGTTTGAAATATAAATAATATTTTATAAAAGTTTTCGTTGAAAGAATAAAATTTAATTGTTCAATAATTAATCTCGCTTTGTATATATTTTATGAAGAATAAATATGCTTTTACAGAGATAATTTAGAGAGATTAATTATTATATATTAAATAATACACATATAGACATTTTATTTTTATATGACAGAAAGTAAAACTGAATGATGATAGTGGGTAAAGGTTTATGTACAAGACTGTACTTACTCATCCATTCCAAAGTTCCATGAATGGTTCCGAATGTGGCACACCAAAGAAGTGATGCCTCCGAACTCATGACCTACTGGCAGAGAGATATGATCTCCTTCTTTTTTTATGATTTAATTTTCGTAATAATTATCTTTAAAATCATAAAAATCATTGTAAAATTATAATTGCATTTTTTTAATTAAATATATCTATTCAATAATTAATAGAAAAATTTTTCTTCTAGATGGGTAAATCAAAATCGAAGAAGAAGAAATGGGTCAAAAATTTAGAATCTGAATCTACAGAATCAGAGATTCCTATACCAAATTTGCCAGAAAAAATCCTTTTAATGCGAGTAAATTTCAAAACGTTTACTAAGATTAACATTCATGTTATTTTTGTATATTCTTTATTCAATTAGAATTTTCCAGGTAAAAAGTGGTACAAAAATCAGAAATGTTCTTGGATATGCGTTAAAAGAATTCGCAAATTATAATTGTATTGTTTGGACCGCAACAGGTCATGGTATTGGAAAAGCTATTTCTTGTGCAGAACTTTTCAAAAAGAAGCAAGAAGGTCTTCATCAAATCACTAGATTACGCTATGTAGAGTAAGTTATAATAATATATAAAATGTATAATAGAATTCATTATTTCTTCATTAATTAAAATATTGAAGATCACAGAAATCAAAAGAGGAAAATAAAACTAATGTAAATGTAGAAACTCGTCATGCACCAGAAATACATATTTTTCTCGGAAAAGAAGTAAAAGATATATCCGTACCTGGGTAATAAACTTTCATTTTCAATTTTATTATATACGTTATTATATATGTTATTATATATTATATTATTTTTATTTTATTTCTTATATTGAAATCAAGTTATCAAGCACCTGGTGATAATGGACAATTCATAAATAATGAAGATATGAAAAATGGAGGAAAAGAGAAGAAAGAAGAAATTGGTAATAATTTGAGTTGTATTGATGCCGAAGAATTTGCAGCTATGGGTTTGAGAACTGGTCAAAAAAGATCAAAGAAAGAGCATCAAACAGAAGCACCACCAAAAAAAATAAAAAGAGAGAAAATGATGATCGATAAAATTACATTTTATATAAAATTCGATCAGAAACAAATATAATCCAAATATAAGTATAAAAATTTATTTCGGTAAATTTTATTTCTTCAAATCTTTTTAAATTTTATAAGAATTATAATTTTTATTTTATCATATTTATTTAATATATAATAAAAAGATGATATAAATATTTATATTGAGTAAAAAGTTTATTCCTTGTCAGTACATGCATATTTGTATAGAAATAATCACGATATATTTCTGTTTTCTCGATTATTTTCTCAACTGATCGTATCTATTGAATTTTTTATTTACAAATTATATATACAATGTTACAATAGGCATACATGCACATTGCAGACTTATAACACATACTATGAAAATTACAGTGCCTTCTACAGAAATTCAGTTGTAAGATATTTTTTTGTTTTAGAAAAAACTGCAATAAACGATTGGCAAAAATCATATTTCACCAATAAATGAAATTTTAAAAAAGTTTATTTTGCATGATTATGTTTTATGTTTCATTATTAGTGAAAATAAAAGAGAAACAATTCTTTCTTTGCTCTTTTGTATAAGCAAAATATTTTCTTACTTTTTGTAAAAACATATATTCTTGGTATCAAATTTATATAAGCTTACAAAAAATTTCTTTGAATAAATCATGATCGATATATTAATAAACTAAAAGGCAATAGATTCCAAAGTATGTTCAATTTTCTTTTCTTAAATTTTATATCAGTTACTAATATAAAGTACTTTTTGGAGTTTATGTACTCGGCAGTAATATGGATAATTCTCCGGCACTGATATTGCTTTTCTTATTAAGAAAACTAGAGAACATTTTCAACTTTTTCATTAATTAAATTATTAATTTTTAAAAAATGAATATAGATTAAAAAAACAAATATAAAAAATAATGTTTACTTATATTCTCTAGTCTTATTTTTGAAGATTAAGTGCCATAATAATGTGAGAGTTATATATCATTTTTCTTATGTTTAATATTTTACAGAGAATAAAAATGTAACATTTTTAATCGGATCATATGACAGTTAAGTTATATCGATTAATGGAGAAGAAAGCTCAACATTTCAATCCCACATAAGATAAATATGATATAAATAAGAACACTACAACATTTATTATCATTACTAATAATGCATATAAGTGTTTGTTTAATTTGGTTATTTTACGATGATTATAATTACGTCATATTGATGACTTTTGTTACAGTATATTTTTTTATGATAAATTATTCAAATATAAAATAATTATTTTACTTAATTTTACATTCAAAATTATACTATAAAAGAACTTTTTAAAATTTTTATATGCAATTTCAATAAAATTAAATATTTGTATATAAATTTATAATACTAAGAAGGAAGAAATATAAAATATTATGTAATATAACGTTACGCAAAAAATTGAATGTTTTTACTCTAAACTTGAATTTCTTGTTACATTATTTAATGAAACAGTATTTAGAAATGAATTTCCAAAAAAAATTTTTTTATAATTTTGTTACTTTAAAAATAATACATAAATACATATAAAATTCAATAATATACAATCATTTTTATATAATAAATTGTAGAAGATATAAAACATTTATTTAAAAAGATTCATCTTTATAAAGGTTTAATAATGGCTAGTTCATTGTAATTATATCTTCTACATTTTATACATTTTATAATAATAAATAAATACTGCAAATATAGCTTATTAAGTATAACAAATTGTTCATACAACGAATTTTTAATAAAAAAAAAAAAAAAAAAAAAAAAAAATTAAGTAATCAAAAAATTTTTATCTTAATTCAATTAATAACAAGAAATTCTAGTAATAAATTTCTACACAAATTACCAAAAATTGTCAATCTCTTGTAACACTCTTGTTACTTTTGTAACACTTGGAACTACAAGAGATATTTCAATAATATATCATTACTTATGATTTCATATTACATTTAACGAATTTCAGGTAAATATGAATATTCAAGTTCTATTATGCTTCACTTTCTGTTGTTCCTTCTTCTTCCATAATTGGTACTATTAAACTTTCCTTTGACATTAAATTATATTTTGTTACAAATGCTGTAAATCTAAAACAAAAATCAATATAAAAGACAAAATAAATGAATTAATAATTTTATATATTATATTTTATAGTCATATAATTATAATATTATAATCATATTTTTAATTAATCATTTTACCTGCGACATAAAAAAGTCTCATTTTCAAATTCATCAAATATTGTTCTATGATGATAATATGCATGAGAGAAAATTCTATAAACTCTTCTACTAACAGATCCAAGTTTGGCTACTGAAGATTCTTTAATACTAACTCTGAAATTAAATATGAAAAATAAAAAAAAAATAATTGTATTTGTATATTTACTGTAATTATTTTTTGATATGATATTATGTATACCTGCTAGGAAAGTATTTGTTACTATTAAGCAAACAAGCTGCACCATCAAGTGTATGTCGTGTATAATCAATAGCTGGACATTCTTTAGGTGTCTTATGTGCAGCACATAGAAATATCCATTGTTCAGTAGCTGTCATTTGAGTACAAGTTTCTGGATGACATTCAGCCTGTAGTCTTACTGTTAAACCATTCAGTTCCATACAAAATTGTCTTAAATGTTCATACTTCCATACTGCTTCATCTTGCGCTTCTGGCATTTTTAATATTAAATCAACATTAGATGGATCTCTTCTAATCATTTGCTGAATATATTGTTGCACGGCCAGCGTGCTGTCCATTTCTTCAAACGGTTCATCAGGCCACCTACAGAAATTCTAACCAAAGAAGGTTCCTAAATTAAGAATTTTTAATAAGAAATGAGAAATTAGTATTATTTATATGACTCATTTATTACATGAACATTTTATCATTATAATTATTATACTATATTATTATTACTGAAAATATCTGTATCTTTATCGTAATAATGTAATGTAAAATATATTTATATAAATGAATAATTTAAAAAAGTATAACATTAACAAAATTAAATTAAAGATATAATTAATAAGAATAAATTAAAGATATATAAAAATAAAATGATATAAATATCATGAATCATTAATTTGTAAACAACAGTTTTTTGTAGCGCGTTAATTAATTTTAGAAAGATACGTTAAAGACGCTTTCAGATATCTCTGTAAGTACATCATATGTAACTGAACTATCATTGAACGGTAGTGTATAAGACATGAAAACAATAAATTCTTAAGAAAATTAAAAATTTTATTAACCTTTGCTGTAGTTCCAGGTCTATTTCTTCTAAAGAATACACATCCGTCCGCCATCTTCATTTTTTCAGTTGTTGCACTCGATTAGCATGCACGTTCGATTGAATCAAATAAAAAGATTTGAGATGTCGTAATGTCGGCCTGAGAAAGTAGCGACACCATATTATTGTTATATAGTGGATTTTATATTTTATTTAAAAATATCTTGATTTTTATATCGACATAAAGTAAAAGTAAATCACAAAAATATATTGTATTTTTTTTAATATTATAAATAAATACATATAGGAGAATGTAATTTACGATTTAATCTAACGATCCACTTTATTTTTACAATTTATATTATATACAGAAGAAATAAAATTTAATTTTTTTTTAAACAATGTTTTAAAAATAAAAAAGCTTGACTAATGAAATGATTTATATTGTATAAATATTTATTCGTAAACATCTTCTCTATCGGCAACGTAACGTACTATATCCGCAGGTCGTAGAAGCTTCTGTGCATCCATATCTGGTATTTCAAAACCAAATTCATCTTCTATAGCCATTATAATTTCTACATGATCCAAAGAATCCAAACCCAGATCTTGCATAAAATGAGAGTTCAAAGATAACTGCACAAGATATCAAATTTTTAATGATAATATATACAAAAAGTGAATAAATAATTAAATTTATAATATATTAATTTAGAGACATCACGATTCAAGCGAAGTGTTAATCAATCATACTTTTTCTGAGAAGCTATCTATCAAGTGTTTTATAAATATAAAATATCATTAATAAGCTTTAAAGATTTTTTTCATTGAAAATTATTAAAAATATTTGTGAAAATGTTTTTCAAATATGATTCTATGTATTTGCAAAACACATTCACAAGTATTCTTTAATGTTGTATTATCTTGTGAAAAGATACCTTCTGAACATCAACTTTATCATAGAGATTGAGTACTAAAAGTACACGCTGGCGAATAAGGTCAAGTGATAATGGTGCCTTATGGCCATACTGACGCACCTGCTTGACTCGTGTGCCCTGTAAAATAATAGTTTGTAAAAAATATATAACTTTATAACCTTCTCAGCAGTTATTTTATCATAAGCTTGGACCACATTTAAAACACGTTCTTCTAGTTCTTGAGTTTTAGGTTTTGAAGTGGATGTACGAATATTTTGTATATTTACCTATTTACAATATTATATATATTATTCATATAATTAAATAGAATATGTAATTAATATAATTATAATTTTTATATTAAAACATACAATTATAATTTAAAAAGAGTAATATTAATATTAAATTTACAATTATAATTAAAAAGTGTTAATTTCTTATATAAGCATGACAACAAATATAATTAAATATAATATCATTAATAAAATAAAATCTGAATGTTCTGTAAGAGAGGACTTTACTTACTAGTTTATGTATATTTAATTTAATTAAAACATGACATACTAAATCGATAGAATATTCTGAATCCTATATTTTACATTCTCTTTTATTAATTGTTTTACTTAAAACAGAATTATTTTGATTACATAATGAGTAATTTAAAATAGGATATATGAACTGTCGAAAAGAATTCATGAAAATCACAGAAAAGTAATGTTTACCTGAGGTATAACTGTGAAGATACTTTGTCTTTTACAGTGAAATAATCTTTCGTTTAATTGAAATTGCGTAATGGTACTTCGTAAACACGTTCGAGTGATCAAATTTCTAAAAGCACCGGTATTTCTTATTAAAATACGAACTCCCGCGAGAGACGCCATTTTCTCTGCAATGAAAAATCTCGCGAAAGGACGTAACCTAATCGTACACTAACTTTACTTGTGTATTGCAATTATCTCATACAGGAGTTTACATGAATTAGAAATTGTAGCGACATCTACTTTATAACAATATATTTACTATAAAATAAAAATTATAATTTATTATATTTTATCAAGTGCTTTTAAAAGTTTTATGTATATGTATATAATATAGTATCATTTTATAGTTCCAGAGAATATTATTTTGAGAATATTAAAATTTATTATTTTTAAACTTCATACATATTTCCGTATAACATACAATATAACATATTTATTTACAATTTTATTTAATTTATATTTTATTACAAAATATTTTTTAAAAAAATGAAACATTCCAAGGCAAGAATATTAAATTCTTAGTAACATTTTGAATCGGGAATATGGCGAAATTGCAAAAATTGACGCAGCTGACGTGATTTGTAGTAGAGTTCGTGTTAGTGTTTATCTTTGGCAAGTATTTTTTCTATTACTCAGGCAACGAATTTTGCTAGTGTCTTGGATAAAGTGTGTTTGAATTTGTATCGTTAGTACCATATGTGCTGGAACAATAGTGATCAATATGTGGGTGAAGCCACAAGAAGTTCTACTGGCAAATGCTTTTTGGTAAATTAATACGTGTATACAATGTTCTATGTTCTGTTATAATTACTGTTTACATCGTATGTCAAAGACAGCTGACAGACAAATACTTAGGAAATTTAATAATTTTCGAGCAATTAATATATTCAAAATACTATTAATTTATATATACAAATAATTATCATTTTAATTAATTTGTAAATTTTTTAAAATTATTTATACTTCATAACTATAATGATATTAAACTTAATATTCGTTAAAAGAATTTATTAATTATATTTTTAAATATCTTGAAATGTTTAAAGTTCTAATATGTCAAGAATTTTAAATTATTGCTATATTTTTCTATATATTATCATTTAGTATAAAAATATAAATTACAATATATTATACATACGAGATACGGTTTATTAACGATAAGAAATATTCGCGCTATTAAAATCATTTTGCTAATTATCTACGAGATTAATTTCCCCTTCAATAATATTTATGAATAAAGTATAAATGAAAAGTGAAAAATTCCATTGATATGAATATTTCTGTAATTATAATATTCTATAAGTATAATATTATATACGAAATTATTGTTTTGTAACATTATAATGCAGAAATAAAAATATAGTTTTTATTAACTGAAGTTTGTTTTTTATATCTTTATTATGTTTTTTTTACTTTTATTTTTTTTTATTTTATATTGAAAAATTTGATTATAAGTTTTATATAATAGAAATATAAGTAGTATATTATGTAATTATAATTATTGTGTTTTACAATAAGTGAATTTTATCTTTTCTCAAAGAAAAATGACTTTATTTTGTTATTTTTATTATATAGGATAACAGAACAAGCAACTGTATATTTTGTTTTACAACGTCGTAAAGGACATGGAAAAACAAAAGGTCTTACTTCTATATTGGTAGGAACATTAGATAGTGTTTTTGACACTAAACCTCCACCATTTAGAATATTACATCAAACACCATCATCAGAAGTTTATTGGGGTAAGATATCTCAACAAAGAAAATTTAGATAAATATTTATATTTTTTTATAATTTACTTATAAAATTATTTATAATTACTTATTTTACTTATAAATATATTGATTTATTTTTTAATATAGCAGTTGCATGCTCTTTGACACATGAAGAAATTTTACAAGATTGGGAATGGCTTCATTCTAATTTAATGGATACTTTAACATCATTTGATACTGAAGAAGAAATTACTGAATTTGTTTGTTGTAAAATACAATCTATTATTGCAAACAATGTACCAGATTGTCAATTTGCAGATGGTAAATTATTTATTATGAAATTGATTAAAAAATAAAATTTGTACATAATTATTAAAACTTACATTATTTCACAGAAGAAGATCCAGAATCATTTAAAACTGTATCTTTTAAATTTCATCAACTTTTTAATATACCAAAAGAAGATAAATTAGTCAATTATTATTCATGCAGGTATTTGTATAGTTAATCTAAAAATATATAAAACTTTAGCAAAACTTATAAATTTTATATATATTGTATTTTTTTAGTTACTGGAAATCTCGTTTACCTAGACAAGGATGGCTATATTTATCAATAAATCATATGTGTTTTTATGCCTATATTTTGGCAAGAGAAACAAAATTAATTATAAGATGGGCTGATATTACTGAATTAAGTAAAACTAATTCCATCTTGTTTCCTGATAGTATACGAGTTGTAACAAGAGAAAATAAAGAGGTAAATAAAATATTGTACTGTTTATTGTTTAAGATTTTATTTTTTTATTTTATAATTTTATTTTTTATGATAAATAATTTTTTTTTATTTTTCTCGTAGCATTATTTTTCAATGTTTCTTCATAAATCTGAAACATATTCATTAATGGAACAACTTACAAATATTGCTATGAAAAGGTAATATTATTTATATCAAATACATATACAATAATCAACTACATCAAAATAAAAATGAAAAAATATATTTAATAAATTAATGTTATTTTATTTTTATTAGACTTATAGATGAAAAAAGTGGTTTTAATGAAGATAGAGAATTATTAAGCAAATTAAGGTATTTCATGATTTGAAAATTTCAAATAAAATTTATATATATTAATATAATGGTAATTATACATGGTATTTACAGCAAAAATGTACCTAAAAAACCATCTTTCTTAAAAAGGGATCTTGATGCACGAGCACATTCTGAAGCTTATAGGTTACAATTCAGATTGCCAGGCATTGAAAAATTGGATGGTAGTATTGATGCAACATTATGGACACCATATAATAAGAGATATGTGTGGGGAAAAATATTTCTTTCCCAAAATTATCTTTGTTTTGAAAGCAGGGTAAATATAATTAAATATAAAAATTAATTAATTATTATATAAAAATTATATTTAATATTCTTATCAATTTAGGTAAGAGGATTAGTAAGTTTAGTTATACCATTAAGAGAAGTAAGACTTATAGAACCTGCTGAAAATCAATCATCCAGTACAGGAATAGATAAATCTATCCTAGTGACAACTGCTCGATCTTCATTTTTATTTGCTCAGATTCATGATCGTGATTTTGTTGTGCAAAAAATATCTGAATTATTAGCAAGATCTAAATTATCAAATTTGTAAGTTTTTATATAATATTATTAATTTTACATTTTTACATTACAATTTAATAATATATTTATATTTTAATTAATATATTTTATTTTGATATAGGAATATTGATCATGTTTTTTCTCAAAATATTATACAACATAATGATAGCAATTGCAAAGAAATTAAATCAGTTAATGATTGGAAACCACAACCACCATTAATGACTTTATTTAAAGCTCCATTAACTAATGAAGCAGCACTAAAACAAGAAGCTAAAGAAAAACAATGGGAACTTCATTTTGCAGAATATGGTAGAGGAATTACAATGTACAGAACGACAGAGACAGCAAAACTTATAATTCAGGGTGTACCACAGTCTCTCAGAGGAGAAGTTTGGCTTACTTTTTCTGGTAATATAATAAATGAAATCCTATTCTCACATAATTATATTAATGTATTTTAATTTCGATTTATTTGTAGGTGCTTTAAATGAAATGGTAATGAATCCAGGGCTATATAAATCACTAGTTGATCAATCTTTAGGTAAATCATGTCAAGCAAATGAGGAAATAGAACGAGATTTACATCGATCTTTACCTGAACATCCAGCATTTCAATCTGACACTGGTATCAGTGCTTTAAGAAGAGTTCTTTCTGCATATGCTTGGAAAAATCCACAAATTGGTAAAAATTTTGTTTGCAGTTATCATTATAAAAATTTCAAAAAATTATTTTAATTGTTTTGAAACAGGTTATTGTCAAGCCATGAATATAGTAGCTTCAGTACTATTAATTTATTGCTCAGAAGAATCTGCATTTTGGCAATTATGTAATGTATGTGAATCATTATTACCCGATTATTATGATAGAAGAGTAGTCGGTGCTCTTGTTGATCAAGGTCTTTTAGAAGAATTAGCAGCTGAACATTTACCAACTTTACATGCTAGATTACAAGAACTTGGTCTTATTAAAGTTATATCGCTTTCATGGTTCTTAACTATATTTTTAAGTGTTATGCCAACAAGTAGTGCAGTAAATATAATGGATTGTTTTTTCTATGATGGAGCAAAAGTAATTTTCCAGGTATAACACATTTTATGTATATTTTATTTATATTAGCTCCTTAATTATTTTTTATTAGTCAAAATATTGAATTTTATTGACATTCTTTCTAATAAATACAGAATAAATTACGTACAGAAGAAATTTGAAGTAAACAGGTCTTTCTTCCTGTGTCAGATAGCATTGACAGTACTGGAGTGGAACCAAGATAAATTATTAAATTGCCGTGACGATGGTGAAGCAATGCAGTTATTAACAGATTATCTTGGAGGTGTATACAATGATGAGGGACTTATACTTCCTAGACCAGTTGATAGTGCTACTCCTAATAGAGTAAGGATATTTTTATGCATGAATTTTTGTATATTTTGAGTATTTATAAGCATTAAAAATTCTATCTATTTACATTTATATATACTCATCAATTTAGAGTATATCTGTTCAAACTTTAATATATGAAGCATATTCAAGATATGGATCCTTGACAATTGGTGGAATAGAAAGACTTCGTTTAAAACATAGATTGAGAGTAGTTCAAAGTTTGGAAGATGGAATTGAAAAAAATGTAATTAGGAGTGTCATTGTTGATAAATATATGACAATGGAAGAATTGCAGGTATTATACATATTAAAAATATATATATATAACTGTTTAAAAAATAATTTATAAAAAATATTATTATTTAGGATCTGTTAAATTTAGTGAGAGAAGAATTAATGAGTCAACGAAAATCTGAACCTGATCGTTATGATCCAACACAACCCCCTTATGAAGCATATAAAATAGATTTTGAATTATTTAGAATATTATTTGGTGGTTTATCCCCATGGGGAAAATGTAGTCAAGCTGAATCTCTCGCTGCCCGATTATTCCGTGTAAGTTAATTAAGTTTAAAAAGTAATTTTTTTTTTTAAGTATAGTTACCTGTATCTGAAAAAAGAAAATTATAATAATTGATAAAAAATATTAGAGAATTAACACCTATGTATATCTTAATTCTATTGAATAAGATCAAGCAAATACAGAAAATGTTCATAAGTACTATTGTACTATCAGTTAATGGATCGTAATCGTGATGGTCTACTGAACTTTCGGGAATTAGTACAAGCAATTGGTATGACAGCAACTGCAGATTTAACACAAAGATTAAAACTTTTATACACTCTACACTTACCACCACTACTTACACCAGCTGATTTTGAATCACCAACACATTCTGGTAAATATTATTTTATATTTAGAAATATTGTAAAAAAAGAATATTTATTTGGATAATTAATATCAGATGGTGCTGAAGTAGCAGCTGAAGCTACAGATTTTTTTGATAGTATGGAACAAAGCGTTGCTTCTTTGGAAATGCCAGTTAGTTTAGCGGAAGAACCTAGTATTGGTACTTTATCTCGCTCAACAAGTTTGACCAGTCAACAAGGAGATCAATCATGGGAAGTTCAAAGCATGGGTAGTTTACGTTCTATGATAGCATCCAAAGATAGTCCACTGGATCTTAAAACTGTGCCAAAAATGTCACAAGGACATTTCATTGCATTATGGAAAACTCTTTATGACATGTTTCCTGCACAACCAGAAGAACAAGAAACTTATCATTGTATAGCTTCAATAGGTAAATTATATGTATTACAAGTATAAAAATATTATTATTATTTAAGGCCATATCATATAAATAATAAAAAAAAAATATTCTTAATATAGGTACACTTTTACTTCAATTAGGCGATGTTGGCAAAAAGTTTTATGTTGGTCGAGATGAATCTGAAGATAGTTTACTTCTAGCCGCTATTGCTGTGCAACAAACATCTTCAATTATGGAACGGGTAACACATTATTTATATTACATAAGTCATCTCGTAGTATATTATAAATTATATATAAATAATAATTTTCAGTCACATGATCGTAATGGAAACCCATCAAACATAGTTGCATCTACTGGTCCAGATTGGACAATAAGTGTTGAACAGTTTTTGGCATCTGCCTTAACAGGTCAAGCAATAGTTGATTTTTTTAGTAAAAGAGCAGATCTTGCAGAAGCGATTGCAAGTCTAAAAAATCGTAGATTCAATCGCGTTCATTCCTTATCAGATACTCCTGTGTTAAATGTTTGATACACAGGCTTAACTGTGTATAAAAAATAGTGTAAGATATATATGAAATTTATAAAATCATAGATTGCCTTGAATAATTGACCAGTAATTTTATTTTCTAAGGAAATTTCTGCATTCATTGCAATTAGATGTATAAATTTTAGTTAAAAAAAATAGATTTGTAGTGCTCAAGACATTTTGTAACAAAATAGTAGTTACAAAAAAGATTAAAATATAATGTTTCATTAAACTAATCCAAGTAATATTTAAATTTTATATGATATTACTATTATATTTTTTATTGATTCCAAAAATATTGATAAGTACCAAAAAAATTTAATTCTTTATGCTTATATTCTTTTTTTAGTGATATCTAGTAATATATTATATTAGTTTTAAAATTTTGCATATGTGATTGAGAATTAATCTTTCAAAATATTAATCTGTATGTAATTTATTGGCCTAATCATGAATACAATAATCATACTGATCAAAAACAAAAACATAGCATCAATATGCTCAGGGTAATATTTTAAATCTAAAATATTAGTTCCAAGTCAGTTCCATCCTTTTTAATAATATTTATGCTTAAAAATCAAGTTCCCAGTAAATAATATTAATAGAAGTTTTTGGAACTAAAGTATATTGAATAATTACAAATTTCCATATTTTCCCAATCGTAATATATGCACAAGATTATGAAATATTTTTATTATCAATTAATAAATATTGCTTAGTTTTATAACTTAAATTTCAATATATTTAAAAACATGAAAAAAACTATAACTTTTGATTGCTACTGATTACAATAATAATTATGTCCAATAATTAAGAGACTATACTTATATTATATATATATATATATCCTTAAGAAATATGAGATAATTCTTCAAAATATTTAAAAATTTGTACTAATTCTTATTATTCAACATATTATATATATAATATAAAATTTAAAATGGATATATATTTTAACATGTTTATAAATTTTTGTTAAATGCAATTGAATCATATTTTTTTGACATATGCAACTATATTTTTTAAAATAATTTTTATTTTTATATAATTATTGCAAAAAAAATTTTGAAATAGAATTAACCAAAAAAATTGTTCCATCAAAAAAAATATTAAATATTAAAAAATTTATCTTTCTATATGTGTATATAATGATCCATTTCACATATAAAGCTCTGTGTACAAAAATCATATAATAAATTATATATATAAAAAAAGCCTTTGTAAGTTAATAAATATAATTTAAATCAATAGTAAATAGTTAATATAATAATACACATTATTTAAATTTTTATATTTTTATTGAAAGAATAAAAGAATTATATATTAAAAATTTTTTGGTAATATACCATCATTTTTTGCAAGTCTTACCAAACAATCATCAGATTCACCCTAAAAAATAAATAATTAATAACAAAAAATTAAAAATTAAATAAAATTTAAAAAACATACCATTCGGCGTATAGCTCCACAAATTGCATACATTTTTTGTGAATCACTCATGCGTCCAGTTTCAGGATCAACATCAGCAATACTTAATTGAATAGATGCATGATCTTTAGCATGTATAATACGATTACTTGATGAGCTATAAAATACGTGATTTATTATAATCTATTTAAATTTTTAATTCTTTTCAATTATATTTACAATTTTTATTTAAAAAAATATTTTTTATTATTTCTATATCATAAAAAATAGCAATCCACGTGTTATTTATTACTTACCACTTTCTTGGGATGTATAAGTCAACAAGTACTCCGTTATCGTTCTCCATTTTTATATCTACAATAAAATTTATAATATGAAATTACATTTTTATGCATAAAAATATAATACTAGGAAATTATAAATTAAAATATATTCTTATTTTTACCTACTAAAAGAGTACTGTAAAATGGCTTCGTATGAAAAAGAACTCTTACGATATAGTGTGAATATCATAAAACAAAATCAAGTTCACCAACATAGAACCAATAAATCTCTATATATTTAAATATATTATTAATAGATATTAATTTTATAACTTCGAATAAATTTTAATTTGAGATATTAAAACTTTTGAATTTTTTCATAGATTTTGAAATTAACTATCAAAATTCCTTTATTCAAAAATTTTATGCATATTAAATTATGTGTTTTTAGGGTTTTTACGAATTATGTGACGTAATATTGAATTTTTACCTAATCTGATTGGACAATAAAAGCACTAGCGCGCGCCAAATCAAATTTTTTTCTATAAAATTATTAATAACACATTATAATTATAAATTCAATAATAATCTATTTTTTTTATAATAAAGTTATTTTTTATTATTACATATTGTTAATCATATTTTGAAATTTTCTTCATCATATATATATATAGAATTTATGAGACTTTATAAATACATATATATATATATATATATATATTGTGACGATATAGTGTCCGTTACAATTTTATGACAAGTAACACCACCAAGCGGATATTAAAAGAAACATTTCCTGCCTATATTACTGTCAAACAGTTCCATCGGACATTCGGTGACTTGAAGTCATCCGGTAAATCATGATGCTCTTATGATGTGCCTTTGTATTTCGTAAACATGAGAAGTGTGTTAATGTTCTCTTACGCGTTTAAATAAACTGTGATACGAAAGTGTGTCCAATGTTAAAACATGTTTTATTTATTACATGTATATTAGAAGTAAAATTAATATATAATATGTAATCGAAAGTATACTTGATGCATTACGATGCAATTACAATATTAATGTTAAGTGCACTTATTCGTTTTTTGTTAAAAACAGTAAAATATTAATCGCACGTTCCTGTTACACGTGCCCATCGACATGTCTATGAAGGTTAAGTTTTTTTTTTTTTTTTTCATTAAAATTCCATTATACAATATAACATATACATTTCAATTTGGATATGTTTTGAATGAAATATTGTATGCCACATTTTAAAATGTAAATAAAGAACGTTTTTAACGGACTTCAACTTAATTTTTAAAATATTATTTGATTTTGTTAATAACTTATATAATAAATTTTTGTTTTATTCAAAAAATAAATAAATAAGATTAATTATAATTTAAACTTAATTTTAATTTAATATTGAATTTTAAAATTTATATTTATAAAATATTCTCAGAAAAACAATGTAAAAAATGTAAAAAAATATAATTTCTCTCTTTATAAGCATTCTTATGATTATTTATATATTCATTTATTATTAAAATATGCATACAATAATAGACAGAGAACAACTTTGATCATAGTCTTTTATATAATATGTATACATTTAGAAACATAAAACTAGATGAGATCAGAATAAATTTACGGAGAACTGATGTCATTTCTTGACAGTGCAATAAGTTACACTGTTTTGTTGATTATATGCATGATTACAGCTATTATCATCTTTATCTTTCAATTTATTTTAATATTATATATATATGAATAAGTAATTTTAAATATTTATGACTATAGTAATCGATTGAAATCGTAGAAAATGCATTGATATATTTAATGCGAAAAAACATAAATTATTTGAAGAAAACATAATATTGCATTTTGACAAGTTTTCATTCATACTAAATTACAATGTTATATTAAAAGTGTTGATTAAAACAATATTTGAAATATTTATATGTTATAAAAATATTAAAAAATTTCATGTGAAAAGCAGAGAAATTGTGAAAGACTGCAGTTTCGTATAATACGATTTCAGTTACAGTCGAATAAATTCATAGTTCATTTACCTCTCTTGGTTATGATTATTTAATCGATTGTATTACTGAAGATCGATATATATATAAGTATTGATATATATCGATATCATTATATTTTTGCAATCTGCAAAAATTATTAAGAAAAAAATATAAAATAAATAGATTATCAAAAAAATTAAGAAAACAAATGAATATTTCGTTGAAATTGAATTGTTTTAATTTTGAAATTTGAATTTCTCTATTATATAGAAAGAATCACCTTGGGATGTGGAATTACATCTGGCAGCAGCACGTGGAGATGCAAAGCGTCTTCGAGTTCTCCTAGATTCTGGTCGTGTTCATGTAGATTGTAAAGATAAGGTAAATTGAAAAAAATTATTCGTTTGGCGTATCGCACGATAGACTAGATCAAATAAGAAATCAGTTACTATTATCAGGCTATCTATTGTTGGGTCAATCGGTTCAAGAATGCAAATCACCACATGTCATTGAAAGAGTAAATAGTAACGTTATTTCATCTAATTTACTAGATCACGTATAGATATTCGTTCTACTTTGGCATACGATCAAATTTATCTTCACTATATAGAATTTGGAATGTAGTCAAAATAGATATAGTTCACATTAACCTTCTTTTAAATGTCATGGCAAGTCGTGCTATTCGTTTTTTTTTTTTTTTTTTTTTTTTTTTTTACTTAATTTGCAAACGATCACTTAAATTAAACATATCATTAAAGTCTGGACTATTTAATTGGTCGTTACATCAATTGAGAAACAACAATTGTCGTTATTGTAGTAAATTATCAATTAATGATACGTGATTCAATAATACAGGAATATAATAGAAAGTAGAAACAGTATCAAATGTCAAGCATAAGTGATTGAAATTACACGATAAATTTATGAATCTTAATTGTCTGTTTAATGATGTGTATCTGTTTATTGATTTGTATGAGTTTTATCGCAAGATCCGTTTAAATCAATTAGAAAATAATTCAGGGGAATTCTCATTATTGAGATCATATTGAAATAATGGCATGGTCGCGTGCCAATCAATTTATAATCAATTAAATAAAATTTGTTGAAACTTTTTAATAAAAAATTTGATAAAAATTGAAAAAAATATTTTTCATTGATTTTTTATCATCTTTACTAGCAAATCATTGATCATTTTATCCATTTTTAGGATGGTACGACGCCTTTAATATTAGCCGCCGCCGGAGGCCATATCGAAGCGGTCACCGAATTGCTACAACAAGGGGCGGATCCTAATGCTAGACGGCTGGTAAGTCCTGAGCACACGTAGCCGGCTCATGAATGAACTAAGAATGAATGAAATCCGTTGAATGTGCGCGTCCTAGCAACCCCGTTACCATTGAAGGGGAATACTTTTTATAATAGCTAAAAATTAGTCTTTTGTTGTATATTTTTTTTAATATAATTATAATTTTCTTATGATTTTAAGGAAATATACATATTATTTTGTTGAAATATTCTGAAGGATGTTTTTACAAATATACCATTATATTTATCATATAAACAGTTCCACAATAATACTTGAATAAACTCAACAAAAGGTAAAGATATCATTCTTTGATAATATTTCTATTTTTAACTTGATGATCTATATCGCACTGATGATATTGTGCTCTATTTGCATCCAATAATGAATCTTTATATTCTTGTTGATTATGAACTTACGTTACGAAGAAAAAATGATACTTATAGTTCTTTTGCTAAGTTTTCCAAAATAGAAATAGAAAACATAATTTTTGATCTATTCTTAGGGTTCGAAAAGTCTGTGCGACATAAAAAGTTTGTTGCTTCTATACATGTAACATGAGGCACCAGGAAGCAGTCGAGTGGCTTTTTTTAAGTGGCTCGTAACGATTTATCGCTGAGTTCATGTATACTCTCAGGTACCATTAAGAATCTCTGTATTGTATGCAAATTCGATAAAATATGAGGCCATGTTGCGATTTTCGGTTATAAAATATCTGCTTAGCTTTCAATTAAAAAAACTGATATGTTTAATTAATTGATTAATTAATTAAAGATAATTTTAGACAAGCGATCTTTGATATTTTTATTTATGATTTATGATTTTTATTTATAATTTTCTCTTTTAATATATTAATGTTTAAATTATATTCATTATTATTTTTTTTAGGTGTAAAATATTGATGAATAAATAAAGATATAATAATATCAAAATAAAAAAAAATGAAAAAATTTGTTTCTGAATATTTGAAATTAAATAATGATATTGTAGAGAATAAATTACGCAAATGCATATTAAGTCAGCTAAATACGCTAAATTGATACAATCATCAATCACAATTCGATTTTCAAAATTACTTTTATTAATAGCAATTTGAATTTTATTAATAATCATTTTTGAAACTATTATCGCTTTATTCATGATCTAAATGAATTTTTAATTAATTCTAATTATTGAAAGAAGAAAGAGAAATTAAAAAAAAGTAGAATATAAATGCAAGAAAAATGCAATTAATCATCAACTGTTTTGCTTATTTCTGCAATCGTAAGTAGTTCGATTATGTAGCCGATAGGCGAGTTTCTAATTCATATTAAGAGATTAGAAAACGTATCCTTCTTTCAAATTCAACATCGTGATTTTGTCTTCTATGTTAAAAAATAATATTATTTTTTAATTAAATGATTCGTGAAAAGTATTCTTTTTAATCGTGCTGATGCATTTTAAAATGAATAGTATACCAAAAATGCGATGATAAATGGATGACAATCATATGAAATACAATTTTCGAATAAATCGAATGATTTCTTCTCATAGTTTTTAATAAACAATTAACAATGCGAATCTAAGAAATAAAAATAATATAGTAAGAATCAGCAAAAGTAAATACTGGAATCGAAACAACGAGAAAATTTCTATTTGCATCGAAAGCCTAAACATGAATTCATTAACGTTGTCAATTAGATATACTTATTTTATAGTTTCTAAAAAGTGCGACCTGAATACGACGAGGTTGAATATTTTGTCTCTTAAATACTCTCATTGGCACATAAAATACCTGTATAAAATATGTGTTTATAACGTTTTAATATGTATATTTGTCGGTAAGTATATCCAAGGTTGCTGAAGCGAAGCATGTTAGGTTGCATCGCAGTATACGCAGGTTCGCGTGTTTCTAATGCATTTTAACAGCGATATCTGCTATAATATGGAACCGACCACGTAGAACTCAC